TTTAACTGGAAGTCTATTGAGAGTGTATACCCCAGCTGCACTAAATGCATCATCCCAATATTTTAAAAGAACATGAGCATGAAAAAGTAGAGAGAGACCCATTTCAACAATTGTTCTATGTTTCCTTTCTGCTACTCCATTTTGAGCTGGAGTATAGAGGAAAGATAATCTGTGATTGATACCAGATTTAGTAAAAATTGAGCCAAGGTTCCTAAATTCTCCCCCCCAATCACTCTGAACAGCCTTGATTTTATGATTCAGTTGGGTTTCAACCAAGTTTTTGAAGTGAGTAAAGGCTTCTTTAACTTCAGACATAAATTTAAAGAAGTAAATCCAGGTAAATTTGGTGTACTGCTCAACAAAACAAACATAATATTGTGAGCCATTGACAGATTTAATTGGAGATGGTCCCCAAACATCAGTATGAACAAGTTCAAGTGGTTGTGTGTATGTGGTTTAAGAATCAACATAAGGAAGAGCATGACTTTTGGCCTGTAAACAGGAACCACAAACAAATTGTTCATTAGAAGAAGATGGAACATTACAGGACTTCATGACTTTAGAAACAACTTCAAAGGCAGCATGGCCTAACCTAGAATGCCACAATTCTAGATTACTAATTTTATTAGAAGTAGCAACATTTGCAGAAAGTAAAATAGGTGAACTGCTGACTGAATGAGCTTGAGGAAGAGTGGATGAGCAGTTGATGTCAAAGCTGTAAAGACCATCCTTAAGTGAACCTTTGAGTAGGACTTGTTGAGTAGCTTGATCCTTGATAAAACAATGATAAGGGTGAAATTCAAAGAACACAGCATTATCTAAGGCAAATTTAGAAACACTTAAAAGATTTTTGGTTATGCTTGGGACATGAAGAAGGTTTTTAAAGTGAAATGGTTTAGACAAGTTTGTAGGATTATCAATTGGGAGTTACCAATATGTGAAATCAACAGACCTGATCCATTGCCAACATGAAGCTTGTTGTTTCCTTGGTATTCTGAAGCAATGCTGAGGTTGGACATATCATTTGTCACATGGTTAGAAGCTCCTGAATCAGTAAACCACAGTGCATCATTGTTCAGGTCTTGTGACACTACCATAGCATTCATACTTTGTCCAAGAGGAGGATTTGAGAGCTGAGCAACTTGAGCTGTCTGAGATGGTTGATGCTGCAAGTTTGTTGGGCCTGGATAAGTAGAGTCATATTTGTGGTAACATTTGTCAGTTGTGTGATTAGATAGACCACACACTTGACAAGCAGGTCTGTTGTTGTTCCTAAAACCTCTGCCTCCTCTTCCTCTGAAGTTATTGTTTCTTCCTCTTCCTCTTTGTGGATGAAAACCACTTCTGTTCTGAAAGTATTGAGTGGTTGGCCTTTGAGGTGCATTGTTGTTGCTTGAGGCTATGTTAACAGTGGGAGTTGAGCCATCAGAATTAACAATGGTCTGTGAGTTAATATCCAGTCTAGATTCCAAACTCAGAAGCATGACATAGACCTCATTCAGGCTGTATGGTTCAATTCTAGAAGTGACAGCAACAACAACAGGGTTGTACTCAACTCCTAAGCCAGCTAGAATGTAAAGAATATGGTTCTGCTCAGACACAAACTCACCAGCTGTCCAAAGAGCATCACAACAGGCCTTTACCTTTCCAAGAAACTCTCTCATAGTGGTTGAGCCTTTCTTCAGAGTTTGAAGCTGAAGTTTGTGATGAATCAGTCTTGCTTTTGAGAGACTCGATAAGTTGGCTTGTAGAGACTGCCATATCTCTTTGGATGTGTTCTTTTCAACCATCATTATGAGCAGGTTCTCACTGAGTGAAGCAAGAAGCTATGATGTGAGAAGCTGATCCTGTCTAACCCATGTTGTGTACTCAGGGTTGATGAAAGGCTGAGATGATGTGCTCTCTGTTGTGATGAACTGATTTGGTGATGTTGAGTCATCTGAAACAAACCATTCAAGGCCATAGCCTACAATAGCACTCCAAATTTGTTGTTTCCACAGCAAGTAGTTTGAATCTGTGAGTTTAATGGTTATGAGTTGATGTTGTGGTTGAATGAGAGAAGGTGTGGTTGAGGTATGGGTTATGCCTGTGCTCCCTGTGGGAGATTGATCGGCCATAATGATCTTTCTTTCTCAGATCTGAGAAAATAAATGAAAAGGAGAAGGTTTCAGAGCCCAGCTGGCTCTGATACCATGTTGGAAAACATGAAACAAGATCCATAAATGCTCATAAAAGAAAGCAAATGACACGAGCTGTGCATTGCCATTTTTTGCTCTGGAAAAGCTGCTATTGCAAAATGATAATTGTTGCTTAGGGTTACATTTGGAGAAGCATATAAATACAAAGGAAGAGCAACGATCCTACGGTCCACAATACATCAAGAACAATATTTCAAAATTCAAAAAGATTCCCCAACTGCAAGTACTATGACTTTGTCTCCATGCACACGCATTTTGTCTTCATGCACAGCCTAAGGAGATGATTTGATTTCTTGATTAATAACTCCATTAGATAATATATTTCATCACAACCTTACATCATATACAACTTAGAATTAATTTCTTATTCACGTTAAAATAGTTTTGAGAATTTCTAAGTCTTCCACTTACAAAAATAGAACTAAAATCAGTACAGAATTAATTTTTCTTAGAATTTCCCACATGAACTAATGCATGTATGCAATACTTGAGATTCCCGATGAATCGTAATTGCATTAGGAAAGATAACTTGTGGCTTTGAATCTCCCTTTGTCAAATACTATCGGATACAGTAGTCGGTTATTAACGCGATGTTTTGAACTTACTGGATGTTCATGTGCACCAAGACAATCGTAATTACATAACAACAGCTCTAACAATTTCTTGATCTCACGTTGTGTCCATTTCAGCCTTGGACCATATATCGGTTTAGTACGTGTTCGATTGAAACGTTTAATTTTCACTTACAAATGTGATTCTCCTATAAAGAGTATCATGGCTTACTCCACACGTAGGTATAGGAATCATTAACAGTCCTCGACTTAACCTTATCACATAGGAAGATTTTAACACTCGACGGTTCTATAAATGAGCGAAAAATTTTCTAGTGTTCCACATAACTGTCAAAACTTAGTTTTCTCATTGAACTAAGGTTTCGGGATCTTTGATTCTCATGGTTAAGTTACTGTTGAGACCGTTTGTCAGCTATGGATTTTTGTTAAGCTCATTTCCCTAACCAATTTGTATAATTTATCGCGTTTCATACTTTTTTGTAAACGGATTCATTAAGTTTATCTTTGAGTTCACATAGTCAACCGATATAATCCCGACACGAGGTAAATTTTTTATGAAATTAACTCTTCGACATATATATCGAGACTACCATTGTATAGAATACTTTGTGATCTTCCAACCACTGATTGATTATCACAAATAATCATCACAATGACCACAATATATCCCCAAGGAATATCTTTTAGAAGATTTCTAAGTCATTTAGCTTCTTCCATGTCTTTTGTACATGTGATGTTTTCTATATTAATGCAATTTTATCGAAATAATTGTTTTTTCACACAAGCTTTTAGCTTAATAAGAAATTATCACATACTCAAGAGTGATTATTTGAATCAATTCTAGATTCACCAACTTTAGTATTGAAATATATAAGGCCTAATTTATCATGTCAAAAATTATAATATCCAATAAATAAGACAAACTTATTTATATTCTTCATCAAATAATTGATTTACAATTGATACAATAATTGTAGAATGACCTTTATTAAAGTCTACTTGTGCTAAGAATACATCATATTTCGACATAACATATTTGTCGATAATCATAAACTAATCTAAATTCGGTCTTACTCAATCAATGGTCCAAAAACTAGATTATATGGATATCTTGGGCATGAAGAACATCCAAAATCTCCAATATCCATTCTTAGCACATCACCTTGTCAGTTTCTATAATACTTGAAGTCGAGAAATTCTACAAATACTTTCTTCCGTAGTAAGGTTGTAGGACAACATTTATAAGTGCCTATGGTCATCACGTGAATCTTGCCCTTATCCGCTATAAATGAAGAATCTTAATCACGTATGTACTCAAACCACGATGGAAAGATCGTGCTCTGACAATTCTTATCTTATCCTCGACAATATGCACTATCATTTACCCCTCTTCAGAAGTTAGTAAACTTCGGCAAGGTACTCGGGTTTGTCACCATCGTAACAACATCTCTTGGATTTATTGGCGTCCCATTTTGATTTGCCATGAAAAGTATTTTTATGCTTCGTTCTCGAGCTCGACTTGACTAAATTTGTCTTAGCCTTTATCTCGATCCATTTGGAAAGTACTTCAGATTTTTTGTTATCTTCTTCTATCTGAAGATGAACTATCAAATCCTCAAGTTCTATCTTGTTAGTTATATAGTTGTTGTATTGTGTATTGTATAGTTAGGTTAAGGTCAAACTTAAGTGAGTCCCGTATTTTGTCTTTATATACGTGTACATATCTTTCTAGTTAGTACAAGATATAAATTTTTCATATTCTCATATGCTATCAGAGCAAGGTTAGGGTCAAACATATACTTGGTATTTCGTTCTCGTCTCCCGCCATCGTAACTTTCACCACCTCAACCATCCTCTCTGTATCCTGTGGCGAGCCTTTGCTGAAAAATTCAGCCCGATAGCCGGCGCGTGGGGCCTACACGCGTCTCATCTTTGCCACAGTGTTGACCAGCTCATTGTGCAATTCTATAACCCCAAAATTCAATTTCAATTTTATGTAATTGTTTTTATAAAACAACTTTTTTCTATTTTTTGGATGTAAATAAATGAATTTGAAAATTTGTTTATTGCATTCTAGAATCTTTGAGACATGTCCGTCTTTTAACTTGTGAAAAAATAAAAAAAGAACCGACTTTAATCTAGGGTTAAGTTAACAAGACATTAGACAGCAAACGCGAGCCACAGAAAAGAAGGACGATCGATCCACAGCAGCTTCGGAGGGACCAAGAAAATGGCTTCCTTTGTCGTGCACACCCAATCAACTCTCCCCACCCCAATTATTCCCCCCTCCGCCGCCAACCGTCGCGTCTTCAGTCGTTCCCTCCCCTCGCTCCGCACCCAATTCCGCCGCCCCCTCCAAACACCCAAACTCCTACACTTTTCCCCAATTCAATTAAAACCCTCGAATTCAATAGTTGCATCCTCCCTCTCAACACCCCCGATAAAACCCGCAATTGAGCAGCCCGTTAGCGCGAAGCCGCCGCATGACTTGCTATCGGGCTCGACGAGGACCGTCACGACCCTCGTCGCCGTCGCCCTGACCGCATCCAAGTTCCTCGCCCGGGGTCTCTTCACCCTGGCCGTGCAGCTGAAGGAGCCGCTACTCTCCTCCGCCAGACCGGCCTTCTTCGCGGCGGCGCAGGGGAGCCCTAGCACGCCGTTCACGGTGGTGGCTGTAGGGATGTCCAAGTGGCTGGACCTGTATGGCGGGATTTTGCTGGTTAGGGTTTTGCTGAGCTGGTTCCCGAACATTCCCTGGGAGCAGCAGCCTCTGACCGCCCTTAGGGATTTGTGCGATCCCTATTTGAGCCTGTTTAGGAACATAATTCCTCCTGTTATGAATACCTTGGATATTAGCCCGCTCTTTGCTTTTACAGTCTTGGGAATATTGTCTGCCATTTTGAAACTTGACGGGCCACCATCTGATCTCTAGTTGGTTTTGTTACTGCTTTTCATGTGGTTCAGAGTGGGGTTGATTTTGTTATAATTTACGAGTGGATTTCTTGGGTCTTGTTTTTGCACTTGTTATTTTTCAGTGACAAACAATAATTGTTATCTCTGTTTTCGTGTTTTCATGGAGTAGATATACAACTACGATTTTCACA